TAAATGTAAATTCAAAAGATTACAGATAACGCAATTATTTGAAAACTTTTCTTCTGCAGGGAAGGGTTTCTGTGTGAAGATGAGTGCAAATTACAAATATTTTGTCTGGAAACATTTGATAACCTTCAAAAGTGAAAGATTATATTCCTTTGAACCGAAGACCGAATACTAAACAAATGACTTGAAAGCAGGCAATTTTGTCTATAGATGCAACGGTTAGACCAAAACAATAAAACTGCAATATAAATGCAGCCGCGCTTGCAAGACGGAGCTTGTTTTCAGCGGAAACACACTCAATTCTCATCTCTTTTAAACAGGTTCAAGTGACAAAACAACTGCTGATTAAAATGGAAACTTTCGAAGCCGCAACCACTTTACTCATCAACCTGTGCATGATGTCTTTGTTGAATTGTGTTCTCCGTGACAAAAGGAACGTGCCATCCAGAATGAAGAATGCCCCTGTCCCAGGGACGATGAACCATCCTTTAAATGAGATCTCATTATCCTAATTATTGCCTTTATCAAGAGGGGATCCCTATATTCCTTATCTTGCGCGATTTGTTTTGTTTGTGAAGAAGCAACTAAAGCTACATTCTCAGAACGGAGCGTGTTCCTTTGTATGTGTTTTCTTCAGTTTGCGAAAACTTATGTGCGTAAAAATTGCATTTAATTAAGAAAGAATTGACGGTCTCCAGAGGCTAATATAATTGCGCCATTAAAGAGAAAAATTATATATGACGCGAAAAATTCCTTTCCTTGCGAAGAAAGTAGTAACTTCCCGCTCATGCATGTACCAGTTTTTTATTTTGGGAAAGTGATTCCATTCTTTCGATACTAATACTTGATATCTATACTATTCCACTATACTCGCAAGAATTATATTTTTGATCAGTTCTTCTTGTCAATTGTCTCCAAAATATGTCATGGATGATTTAAAAAAAGGATTCTGACTCCCGCACAGGTCTTGAAGAAGTCGTGATTTCGCTGGTTACTTACATCTTGATGTGTTTACGACAATAGTTAGATCTTGTAAAGCTTCGTAATGTGTTTGTGATTTCAGTTAGATATTGATATTCTTTATACCGTATATATCATTCCTTCTATTGATTCTCTAACTCTGTATGAACTATTAGTTACTATGAAATCCTTTTTTCAGGTACGTTCTTCAATTTCGGACATTTACTCCCACCAGACGGGTGTGTCATATTGCCCTTCCTCAGATTGTACCATGTAGAAAATGCAATTCATCGAATGCGATCGCACAGAAACAAATGCATTTGCTTTAACCCTTTTAACTCCCAAGATCTGATCGTTAATTCTTCCCTCTAGCTGCTACACATTTACTTGTAAATTAGTTACGAGAATTTGGTGTTAGATCAAGATAACAACTTCTCCCAGATAAGTTGGAATATTCTCATTACCTTTTTGCTGAATAACGTAAGGATACTCTGGGGAGAAGTTTCATGTTAATCACTTTTGGGAGTTAAAGGGTTAATAAATGTCAACGTCTACACGTTAACAGATCACCTGTGAACAATCCTCTTCCAGTTACGGAAACAACTTACTTAGTGCGGGCCTTGAGAACAAGTTTATTAGATGATTGTGACTTGTTATAATAGAAAATTATGCTTTCCTGGGAATAATAGAGCGTCAAATTGTCTTTTAGGCAGACAACTGGCTCATACAGCTTGAAGCAAATCGAAGTTTGAAGGTAAAAAATATGCCCTATAAGATTCTACTTGCTGGTATTTGGATTTTCAGTATCAAAGTATCACTTTCTAGATCTCCTTTAGCTCTTTGAGGAGGACACTACCAATTTTTTGAAAAATTATCCTTAAGCTCTCCTGCTTAAGTTGAGCTAATCAAGTTCGGCGTCTCAATCAGCATAATTCAAACAAGAGCTTCATGGTTTTTGAGTGAAGTCAACTTCCCCAACTTCGATGTATCGTTTAGTAATATCAAAATTTGGACCAACCAGACTTCAGTTAAACTCTGCGACCCCTCGAAATGCGTCCCTAATTTAAACGATGTTTCCATCATCTTCCTTCTCCTTTGTAAAGTACTTGAGTTTAAGCCCTGCTTTACATAGCTCATGACCCTCTGTCTCTGAATAATCTTGGACAATAGAGTAGGAATCCCTTTTTGTCTTATAGTGATCAACCAAGTGTAAAAAAATATTTTAGATGTCGCACAGTTTTATATTTTGTTTAATTTCGACTTGTACCCACAGGCTTTGTGAAATGTCGAAATTTAATGGCACAAAGACAACTAAAGGTGGAAGTGAGAACGGGGTACTAGTATTCAACACAGGACCAAAACCTCGTCACTTTAGTCATGACTCCCTCAGACAGAAAATGAGCCGACATAGAGGAATTGACCACGCCGAAAAACTAAATGAAATGACGCTTTATAAAGTACCTCTGGTGGAATGGCAACTTACCCAAGTTGTTTTTAACCATCAGTTTGTCGTGATAGGTTCATCTTCTTGGTGGTGGTCCATTGAGAGAAACTTTAAAAAAATTCTCCTTCAAAGGAGCAAATTTCTATCCGTGGTTAGAAATTATAACGAAGGATTCCGCAGAAAATTTCCAGTAGTCGAAATAAAACGTGGTGATTGCAAAGAAACAATGAAAGATTTGATTGAGTTTCTCCATTGCAAGGGAGAGCTAAAGACTGAATACGATTTGGTGCTTAATAATTGTAAAATATTCGCAAATAATGTGTTCGATAGATTTGTGGTAGAGGGTACAGTCAAAAGAACATTGAATATTTTTTGAACAGTGACACTTCAAATGAAGAGCTGCTTCATAGTCATATAGGAATTAATTTCTATAGCTGTTTAATTCAACTTTTTTTCAACGTCAATTAGAACAGTCTGGTCTCTTAAAGATCGCTGGTATCCAAGAAACTGCCACTCGATGATCGCTGAAACTGTTTCTGGTGAAATTTCTTACATATCTGAAGTTTCGGGTGGATTTTTAAAAATATTTTAGAAACTCATAACCCTTTAACTCCCATGCGTAACCAAGACAGAGTTTCTCCTTACAATATTAATACAATATCATGCAGACAAGTGATGAGAATAAAGAAAAAATCTAATGGGGGATTATAAGTTGATCCAATACCAAATTCTCCAAACTAACATCACAAAAACTATGTGGTAGATGTTAAGGAGAATTACTAACGAGATCTTGGGAGTTAAAGGGATAATCAAGAATTTCGTAGCTTTGTCCGTTTTTAGACTAATCTTTAGAGTAATTCCTAGTCGCAACTTGTTCATGTTTTTTGTTCACTTTTTAACTTTTTAATATTTCTGGGTGAATAATCATCAAAATATAACTGACTGCGCTCATCTATAGTTTATACCAGCGACTCAAAATCGAAAGTTGATTGTTTTTTTAATAAGGTAATAAAAGAATTGTTAGCACCGATCTTTATCGTCGTTGTCTGTCTTGCCTCATTCTTTTTCAGTGCTAGTGGATCAAAGGTCCATCAGAAGAAACTGCTTGCCATCTCGCTCTTATTTGGGCTATCTCCTCTGTTGCCTCCAGGTGTCGCCTTTTTCGCTCGCCTCGCCGTTCACGGTTTTTATCCATCTGTTCATGAAACACCACTGACTCATCTCTGCCTTTGGGTTCCACTCCGCTCAAACTATATCCTCTTAGTATTTGGTTTTCTGAAGGTGCGCTCAATCAAACCCAAGTTGCGGCCCTAATCACTTTCGTTGTGATTCCGAATTTGTCGTAACTTATTTAATAGTGCATTAAACAAGGCTTCCGAAAAACAATTATTATTCAAACAGTAATTATTCAAAGAAGCAAAGCAAACCTTTGGACGTGATATAGATTATGGCAGCCTCAAGGTAGCAGCTTCACTTCGTTCGTTATGCAATGAGAAAACCGCTGTGCTAAGTGCGTCAGGTTACAAATATCAGAGTATAGGCAAAGCTTACAACATTACACCTGTCATTTAACGCCAAGCTAGGTTTCGCTTACACAATTTCGCTTGTAAAAAATTTACCGCAAAGAATATAAACGCCGTTAACTTTCATGCAAGTTAACAGAGGATAATGAATCAGTCTCTCTTTTTCTTAGTGTATAAAGGTGAACTAATGCAAGTCCAAGTGCGAATAGTATACAATACCACGAGCCACATTTTGATGAACCAAAATGAGTGCGTCTCATTTTACTTCCAATTTTATTTGGAAACAACATTTAAATAGTTTTTAGACAGAAAAAATGTTTACATCAGTATCCCATAACAGTTGTACTGAGGGTCTACTTTCGATAAAGCATTATACATGAATGAGATTCAGTGTAACGGCAATATCGACGAATTGTGTTAAATATCACCAAGAGAATATATTCACTTGATATCAATGAAATACAAATTTTTCGCCGGGGTAAGTAAAAACTATACTCAGATTTGCGTGTTTCTACGTGTATGTCTACCCGCAATCACTCATCAGGAATAAGTCTGTTCACTAATCTATTTACTCTTTGCTCATCTAGCATTTTTTTTCTGATTGTTGTAGTTTTATTGATACAAAATTGTTTATTTTTTGTTCATTCTTAAATTTTATACTAATGTGCCACTGATTTCATTCCCTGTTACGTATTTTCGTTTCCTAATTGATCCTTTCGTTACAGAGTTCTGAAACTTGGGCGCATATCTTTAACCAGTCTTATCCTCTCATGCTCTAACTACAATGATACAACGCAACAAAATAAATCACGTCCCTTAACTTAAAGTTTGAATGAACAGATTTGATCTCAGCAGCAATTAAATATAGTGTAATGAAACGATTTAGAGTATTGACGTCCACACATCATCTGTACGTAAGTTCGACGAGATAAAAACCAACGCTTGTAGTCGTTATTAAATTTATGAACAATGTTGGCAATTAACGAGATTTATAACATCCAGGTCACTTGCTCTAGACTTCCCTTTCTGATGCCAAAATATTTTTAAAACGTAAATTATACTTATACTTCCTGAAATGTAACCTTGAAAGAGGAAGGAAAAGAGCAATTTACCAGATGAAGCCGACCGATTCATTCACCCTTTTAAGCCACTTGGTACTTGATGAGAATGAATTCTCATCGCGTGTCTGCACGCTAATTTAGACAAACGGAACGTAGATACTGACATTCTTAGACTCCAATCCACACCTTACAGCTCACTTCTTACATCCTCGCGTGACAACAGCTGCTTAACAGGATTGGACGTTGGTCGATGTTTTGTTTTCACTATCAGACTGCGACGATGGTCTGCAAATTTTCTATCAAAGGTAAAAATACAGAACCAGTGTCAGGACGGTTTTAGGCTTACTTGGCCTTAACTCCCGATGATGGCTTGCACCGAGAGAGGATAATTAATCCTTTCTTGCCTGCTCAGAGTAGAAGTCATACACATACTACTTAGAAGTGAAACTGCACATATACGGACGTAAGTTGAACACTTAAAACGAATGCCCGGCTTTAATTTCCACGTCATTCTCTATTTTTTCATCTGTGATCGCTTACATTGGTACGCCTCACTATAATGCGCAGAACTAGATTGAGACTTGCTCGTTAAGAAAAAAAATGATTTTTTTTCTCACCGTATGCTTGCTCGATAACTTTCCTCGATGCCCTCGGAGGAATGGCGTCTTTTCTGTTTGTTTTTAGAAAATAAAAGAACATTGACTGACTTTCATTGACATTGACATTGACTGAATTTCAATCGTTCCAGTTACTGTAATCAATTTTACGATGTAAGCTGAAAGCATTGTGGCCAAAAACAACTGGAGAGTACGTTTTTTAGTAAATTTATCAAGTCCTCAAACTCATTAACTTTTGGCATGTGACTTTCGCGTTAATCGAAAAACGTGTTTTTATTCAAGAAAGCGAAGTAAACATTAAGAATGCAATTTTTACTAATTTCAACTACGTTTTTCTTCGGCCTAAAGATCATAGAAAATAACCGCCGTGGATAGTGATAAACAATATGTACGATGAAGATCCCCGACGTCGTTCTTTTTATTACTGACCACTACTCGATGACTACCCGCCTCTTTCGGTTTGGGTTTTCCAAATATGTTTTCCAACTCGGCTTTAAGAAGACCTTTGTTGCCATCTTGTTCGTCTGACGCCTGCATCTACATAAAATACAATGACATATAACGGATAATTAAATTTTACATATTCTATCGTAGTTCTGGTACTGAAAGTTTAAGTTTTAAAAGAGTGCGCGAAATATATCGAGGGCCTGACTTTCACAAGATTTAAAGCTTCATTTCTAGTTGGAAGATCATATAAAATATTTAAGAGCACATTTAAATGTTTATATAGCAGAGATAAACTGAGGACTAAGTGTCAGTTAAAACGTTTCAGTCTATACGTATTAAAAAATTTGGCAAGATGTGGTTGATACGTAATCTTGTTTGCAGCATCTGAGCAAGTTACTAAACAATTCACAAGAAGCTTTGAACTACTTGACAGCGAACAAATCCTTTCGTAGATTTCTTAATTACGTTCGGGTTAGTTAAATTTCTAAAGTGCAACTTAAACTAAACCTTAAAGTTTTCGAGCAAAGATCGCAGTAGATAATATCCTTGTCAGCACCTTTGGAAATGTCCAAAGAACAGAATGGAGAATACGCAAACTGATGTTAGGTTAAAGAAGAAGTATTTCACCTTATCTTTGTTCCTCCCTCGAGTTGCCCAGTCAGGTTTTGGATACTCGTACTTCTTCTTCTCCTCTATCTTTTTAATATCTCCTGCAGTAGGTTTGGCGACGGAGCTTTTTCCTTTGCTCCATTCGGGTCTTGCTTCTTTCCAGTAATCTTTCGCTTTGGGTTTGGGTTTTTCAGGGATCTTGGGTTTATCGACAGGGTTCTTTCCTTTTGCCCAGTCCGGCCGCGCCTCCTCCCAATACTCCGACTGCGTCTTGGTGGGTTTATCGGCCTCCTTTTTTCGTAAAGAAGCCGTCTTCCACTCGGGCTCCGGCTTAGTCTTCGGCTTAGTCTTCGGTTTTGCTTCGAAATGTTCATTTGGTTTGCCAGTGAGGGAACCTGTCGACTTAAGTTCTCTGGCCGAGCGGGCCCATTCTGGATCCTAAGAATAGGACGAGATAAAGTAACAAAGTGTCGCTGTTCACTAACTATTACAAGATCTCGTTTCTAGCGGGCGTGACAGAAAGCTGCCGGAACTTTCGGTTTCTTTTCATTTCCCAAGTACGTTGTCGAAACGCACGGTAACCATGAGAGTCTCTGTCGCAGCCGTTGTTTAGTCTTGTCATGCAGAGCGCGTAATGCGTGCAGTGTACGAGGGACAAGATCAAACAACAAATGCGAAAGAGACGAATTATCCATATTGAGATGTGGAAAATCTGAGTACGCCTGAAGGAAATGGGTTAAATTTGGATGAAAGCCCGAATATGCGTTCAACTAATTTTGTAAAGATCAAGACACCTTTCCCCCTGCGCCGCTTAGTAAACGGTTGTGTTTTGCAATTAAGTTGAAAGTGCTGGGAAGGGAAAATTAAGACCGTCACGAAACTATGCCCATTTCCCTTTCAGTTTTTTCCCCTCCTTTTCCCGTTAACTGGCCTACTTTTTATTGGTCATGCAACAGAGTACTTTGGCTGCTAAAAAAAACGCGCCGAGCCCTTACGGAAATTAACCAGAATCAAGAAGCCCACATGCGGAAAAAAATAAAATAAACAAAATGGTGAATTACTAGAAAAAACAACTTTATTGAATTAGAGAAAAAATAAATGCCATACAAAGGCGACGATTCTGTTATAAAATACAGCCCGATTACAAGATACAGTACACTTTAAAACTTTCTCATGATGTTTGTTTCAAACAAACTAACCACATAGAAAACACATAGTTGATTAACCAATCTAAGACAACTCAGGTCATAACTTTTAGAGTAGCATTTTCAGTGGCATTTTATAATTTCATCTTCCTTTCGCCCTCTTCCTGGTAGTAATCAATCGAGCAACTATCGATTCTGAGTTGGATTTAATAACAATACAATGATACTTTTCTTAATTAAGGAAGCTGAAAGAATGATTCAAACCCTTTTTTCTCCATAAAGTTCAGATCTTGCTTTACTTTCTAACTATTCTAGAAGTTATTTCTCTCCACATTATTCCAATAAGAAGAGGCATAGAGGCCTGGGAGAAATCAGCGCTCGATTAGAGACCATTTAATTTGAGAAATGATTGGAAGCAAGTGTAGGAAAGCTTACGGTTGAAAGTAGGACTCATTACAGTTTCACCAAGATCGGCAGTTTTCTGTCTAATTGCCAATGACACCTTGATCAAAAGGGCAGACTCTAGAACCTAACCAATTCAAATTCTTGACGAAAAAGGAGCTTTTCTGACTGTCCCAACCCTAGTCTCTCAGAAATGTCTCAGCTCTGCACAAGGTGGAGGAGGAGCCTGGAGAGTTTTATGGAGGTATGAGGGTTTTCACATAACATCAAATAAAATTAGTTGCACTCCTGCACTTATTTTGAGGTTTCTTCTAAAGGTCCGGCTCAACTATAACATCTTTACAATGAAAAGATTCCACGGGCTTAGAAAAAAAAATTCCAAAAAAGAGCCTAAAAACCTGGCTTTTAGAACAAAATTGCTTACATTAATCAAGTTTAAGTAAAAAACTACCCTAGACCAGTTGAAGTTTAATCATCTTCATCGTGCCTTCCGGTGGTTTTCAAACTGACGCCTTTCCACTCTGGATCACCCGCTTCTCCGTCTACACCAGGACTTTTCGGGGCCTTCTTCAGTCCATCTCGCCAGTCCTGCCTCTTAGACTCGCCAAGATCCCCTCCGTCTTTCTTCTCTGTCTTCTTGAGAGCCACCCTTCCTGACCAGTCGGGTTTCTTCTCTCCGTCCTTCTTCTTATCGTCACCCCATGGCTTGTTACCTCCCTTCTTCAGTTGGGTCTTTGCCCAGGCGGGCGCAGCCTCCTTCTCTTCCTTCTTTTTGTCTTTCTTGTCCTTTTTAAGGCCAGTGAGCAGAGGGCTGTCTGTGCGCTTGACACGGTTCATTTTACTCATGAGTTCCTCGCTCATCTGTTAAACAGAATTTCTCAATGTTAACAGCTGTGGGCTAGATAGATTTGGAGATCAGTTCATGATTTCAGAGGAAAAGTTTGGTTGAATTTGCTCAACATTCACGTATCGCAAATGAAGGTTTTAAAATCGAATTGCTCAACACTGAGCTTTTTCATTCCCGTTCAACGAACCTTTTTTATTTCCATCTGATCCACATTCCATCACAGAATCCTTCATCAGAAAGGTTCTTCTTCTTCGTTGCTTCATTTGAAGGATGTTATTGACACTAATTCACTTCACTCAAACGTCACAACTCATCAATGATTCGCAGTTGTCGATAGTAATTGAAACGAAACGAAAATGCAACGAAACATCGATGTTGGTGTAGTATTTCGATCCTGCTGAAAACTACAGCTTCCATTCGAAATATCATCCCCGAAATTAATGGGTAAAATTCAGTTAGTTCGCCTCGCTACTCGAGATGTAGCATAACCACTGCAATTTTGCGGCGTAAGTTTTAGTAACCAATCCCATAAACCAGGCGATGAAATTGAAACAGAGAAGACTGATAAGTTCGTTTCAGAACCCACAAGAAAACCCTCGAAAGAATTCTGCATTTCTATTGCTATATACAAGAAATGAATAAGCAACAAGACGGTTGACCTGGGAAAATCCTTCGAACGCCATATCACCATCGCATGAAAAATTATCTTATACTAAGCAAGCCTAAGGAACTCACGTTCATGAAAGTTATATTTGCTTCACCCAATAGAACACTGAAAATAGTTGGCAAGAGAAAATTACCTTATTAGACTCCTTTTGCTTGGCCTTCATGGCCATGAACTTCTCTTCCCACGCCGCAGCTTGAGCTTTACGCACCACGTTTACAAAGTTTCCTTTCTGTTGGAAAAATCATGGTATATACTTTTAAAAATTATTCGCCAAAGGCGACGCGAATATTGCAGGACAATTCTACACGCTTTACTGAACATAAGATTACAATCAATTTACTTCAATTTTTCTTTGTCAACGACTTAAATAAATCACCCGGTGGCCATTTTGAAAAATAGTACTGCGAAATATATTTTATACTTAGCCATAAAAGGTAAAACCAATCAGAGAACAGGTAACCTGTTGTATAATCGACAGTGTTACTCTCTTCCTTCCCGTCATACTCTGCGATCTCATTCTCGGCGAAATTTAATAAGCTGTGTGATATCCCGTTTTTTTTCAAGCATTTTTTTTTTAAGAATTTCCTTTTTTTTCACTCTTTTCTGTAGTTTTTATCATTTTTCTTTGCTTTACTATGGTTAAGCTGCTCACAGATTCTGTACTCGAACTAACAGCTCCTTCGAAACTCGTCCTCAGACCCCTAATGAATTGGCGCGTGAGATTTACAGAGGTTTTTTGTTAATGCCAACTGGTTAAAACATACTAAACGCACCTTTGGTGGAAGAGTCTTCTTCTGTTTGGGTGAAATGCAAAGAGAAAGAAATAGATAAATTTTGATTTGATACGAACCAACAAATACAACAATGTGTGGATCACTGGATCATTAATTCAAATACAAACGGCAAGCTCTTGTAAATGGTAACTGTTACTTACAGCTGTTCTTTGCGGTGCCACCTTCCTGAAGAAAACAAAACAGATAAGGAGTTATTTTTAAATAACATTCAGATTATGTTCTTGTTTTTGTGTTTTACAAAGATCACTCAGGGCTCCCCCCCCCCAAAAAAAAAAAAAAAAAAAAAAAAAAAAAAAGACTGCACTTGGAGCGCAGGCGGTGCAAATTTCCCGCCAATGAAAAAACTCACGTGACAGATGACGCAACGTATCCATGTCTGCGCGAAAACGCAGATTTGGAATTTCTCAAGGAAAAACTTCAATATTTGACGGCGAATTAACCCTTTCATTCCAAAGATCTTATTAGTAATTCTCCTTACTGTCTGCTATACAATTCTTATACCTGGTAGTATGAGTTGGGAGAATTTTTGTTTTGGATCAACGAATAGTCACCTTATTGATATCTTTCAAAACTTCTCATCACTTGTCTGGTTGATATTGTACTTATGACACAAGGAGAAATTCTGTTTCATTCACCTTTACCACACCCTCAGAGATATTAAACTTATATACATTTAACCCTTCAACTCCCAAGATCTGATTGTTAATTCTCCCCACTAACTGCTACACATTTCCTTGTAAATTAGTTACGGGAATGTGGTGTTAGATCAAGATGACAACTTCAACCTGATAAGTCTGAGTAATCTCATTAACTTTTTACTGGATAATGTATGGATATCATGGGGAGAAGTTATGTGTTAATCACTTCTGGGAGTTATATGGTTAAGACTACACTTCACAATTTTGAACTTCTTGGAGTATCAAGTGCATCCCACTGCAAATGTGATATTGAAAAATAATGACTTACTTTCCCTCTTTAATTAAGAGATTATTTTCATCTTCTGTTTTCTTCACCTCCGTACGAAGCCTATTGATCTAAAACGTAACAAAATGAAGCTGCGTAAGTCGTACTAAATTGCCTTGTAGCCAAACTTATCGTAGATAACTATCAGAAACAAATTCTGCACAAAAACACACTGTAGGTATGAGAAATAGCTATTAAGAACTAAACAGATGGTGAATTGGGCATAACTAAATGTCTGCACATTTGGAATTAAAAATAAAACTGTTAGTCACATGATATGATTGATGCAAGCTAAAAAACACCTGCAATTTCTGATATTACTTTCATCACATCATCCTTTGTTTCATGGGCGGCTTATTTTTGGCTAGCAAATGGGACACATTAGATTCCACAAAAAAAGAGATGATATCACATCCCCCAAACCCCTTTACACAATGACCAGATAGATATACAGATCCCCTTATGATCCAATTTGAAAAGCAGTGAATCAATGACTTTTAATGAAAGGTCAAATGTAGCAGATTGTTTTTTTTCAAGGTAAAAAAATAAACTTACATCATTAGTGTTTTTCTTCATTTTTTCTTCTAATTCTCTCTTTTGTTTGGCAAGAGCATTAGAATTCTCCTCAGCCTTTCGGAGTTGTGTTCGAAGGGAGCGCAGTTTAAGGTCAAGTGCATCTAGTTCTTCTTTGCTAGCAGGTTCATTCTTAGCTTCCCGCTCTTCAACAATGCGGCGCAGTTCATTAGCCAGTCCCTCAAGAATTGCCTCTGTTGAAAGTAAGGTCACATTTTTATGTAAGAATATCTGTATTCTCTTCACAAGCAAATTTCATTCTCTGGGTTACTTATACCAAATTGTGCAATTAATGGAAGACTTTTATATCCTTTTACTACACTGAAGAAATTTCACTTCTGGCACTAAAAATGCTAGTACAATTAAATGCACAAAGGTATGTACCTCATCATACATGTACATGTAGCTGCAAGTATTTGAATCAGGTTTGATTACCAGATAATACATACAGCAGCAAATACATGTACTTGTATATTCATGTGCCAGAGACAGCGAGGAGCAGCTGCTGAAACCACAGTCAAATGTACTATTTTTAGCCGTTTCTTTAAGTAATTGAATGCTGCGATTAAATTTCCAATCTCTACTATGACAGCCGAAAAAATCCTCAAGTATTAAGGACCAGACATTTTGAAATTGGCATTTGACTGAGAGCAAAATCTCTTTCATATCAGCATCAATAAACTACTGTAAGAGATTCGTTTTGGTTTTTTTATATGCTCAGAATTTGATTGGCCCAATATGATTTGTCTTCAAAAGATGCATGATATAATGTAGTTTACCCTTCCTGGATAAGGGTGACCATTATCTTCATACAGTGCATACTGCACAATACTTAATGCATGAATTTCACACTTACGCTTTTTCTGGGGATTCAGTCGGTCAATGATTGTTTCTTCTTCTTCATCTTCCTCCTCTTCCTCTTCCTCTTCTTCATCCTGTTCATCTCCATCAACATGATCTTGATTGAGTCGGTTTTTCTCTTCTTCCATTCTCCTTCTCTCCTCTTCCTCTTCTTCTTCACGTCTTCGCCTTTCCTCCTGTTTTCGCCTTTCCTCCTCTCTTTGCCTTTCTTCTTCTTTGCGCCTTTTCTCTGCTGCTTCCTCCTCAGCCTTTCTCTTCTCTTCCTCCTCTAACAGAAAAAAAATGGGAGGTTTGAATTAAGCCATCTCTCATGTCAAGGAGTGTGATTAGAATGAAAATGAACTTTTAAGATTATAAATGGTGTTGACCAACAAAAGGAAAAGTCGAATCATGAAACAAATAAAGCCAGACTACTGTCAATGGAACAAAGCAATAATTAAGACTGGCCAACCTCTCTCACGGCGGCGGCGTGCTGATGCACTTTCTTCAGCAGGTTCATCTGCAAGAGACAAAAACGTTACACATAAATTGAAGAAGATGGGAGTGATCATCACAGTAATGAACACTACTTACATGTGAAAAAAATCTGAAAAAAATTTTAGGCCTGTACAGGAACTGAACCCATAACATCTGCAGTGCTCTACCAACTATGTTAACCAGCCGGGAGCTCGGGATTTTGTTGGTTCTTAATGAACCTGTAAAGTGATGAATGTCCTCAGATATGAAAACAATTTGTTCACCACAATACCTACAGGGCAGTGTTGAGTCCATTTAAAACATAATATATGAACCATCAATTATTCTATATGAGCAAAGTGCTAGTACATGTACTAGCATATCACTTAGAGTATAGTATTGCTTTCAGTGTATAATATCCTATATCAAATAGAGGAGTGATAATAATGCAGATAATGTCTGGCTTAATAAAAGATTTCATAGTAAATTGGTTTATTTTTACATAATTTTATCAGTCTTGACAATAAAAAAGAAAACTTGTGAATGAGAACCTCAACTAAGTAGTCAGATCTTTGGAGGAATAGTATGCACACACCTCTTCCACCTCCACCGTCTCTCTTCTTGCGTCGCTCTTCTCTCTCCTTCTTTCTCCTTTCCTCATCAGCTGCATCTTCTGCATCCCTTTCAGCACGCCGTGCTTCACGCTCTTTCCTCCTTTGTTCCCTTCGCTTGGCTGCCTCGTCCTATGATGAAATTTAAAATGTACACAACTTTAGACAAAGTCAAAAAATACCAGCCAAGAGTTTCCAAAACACAGTAACTTCTGACATGTGTTATTAGAAGTTTGTGAAGTGCCAGTTTCTTAAAATTGTGGTCATGAAAAACAACCGGCACACAACTAAATTACTTTTTTAAATCAAGATTTCATTTTTGTCTAATTGCCCATCCTTTTTATTGTCCCTTAAATCATTGTGTTACATTACAATTACCACGACTGTAAACAGGTAAAGGCAGCAGTAATTTTTTGATTTTGATTCAAGTTTACATAACTTCCATTTTTAAATTTATTGCTAAAAGGACTGCATGCAAATGGTCGAAATGTTTTATTGTATCATATATAACTATGTAATTAGTAATTTTTATTTTAAGACAGTGATCATTAGATTCCACATCAAGGCCTCACTTGATACCAGCCTCATCACCGAATGGGCTCTCTGAATCAACAGAGTTTATTACATCACATCACAAGACTTGGACAAAAGTTATAATAGGAGGACTAGTTCATACAAAGGAAGACTGTCAGTTTCCTAAATTTATGATTTACAACAAGACTGTTCTCATAAAATGTCACTAGCACTTCAGAACATTATTAAAATAAATGAACACTACATTCATCTGTGTTTCTGTACACAGGGTGTTAAATAATCAACATTGTCATGATTCCATAAAATTCTATCGATACATGTACATGAATATTGGACATGTTTGTTAATTAGTACCACACTGAAATACTGAGGGTGGGTTTAGATTTCTCCCCTTTGCTTTTCACAGTATACAGTGCATATTTTGTGACACAAACAGAATTGATATAATATACATATTAACAAAAGAGAAATTTCTCTGAAAACTTATTAACAAGCCTGACCTAAATTAAGAGGCTCAAAGTAAATTTTTCACATTAAAAAGAAACAAACAAAACAGCAACAGAGGTCAAAATGTGTAAATAGCTATGAACTATGTCAAAAATAAGTTACTAAACAGCAGGTAAATGCTCTCGTTCCTTAGAAGCACAATTACACAGAATTATAGACAATAGAATATTACATGGAATGAGTGATAAACTTCAAGTTTGCAATAAGGCTCTGTGCAAATTTTAGGTACAGAAGTACAGTGTAGCAAAAAATGTAAATTAGTTATATGGCACTCAGAATATCTGTGTTATGTTTCCAAATTCTTAAACATACATTCGCAAAATCAAACAAATTTTCAGTTGTCCTTCACAACATTGAATTTATTCACAACAGTAAAAGAACAAATAAATGAAGCGTTCATGGTTTTCTTGTCAACAGCTCAACAACCTTAGATCTATTAACATTAAAAGCTGCCCACCTAGCATATAAATAGAGAACAGCTTTGTCACACTATGATCAAAGTGCCTGGTCTCTTTGTGTGGTTTATACTCTTGTCTGCTCTATATTGATTGTAGTTATTTGATTGCTGTTAGAATACTTTAGTGAAGAATACATTTAATAAGTGTTAACATTTCATCTAAAAGATTTTATGGTTAAAATATGGTAGACAGCGAACAGACCTCCAGGAAAATATCTCAGAAATGTACTATAGAATTGGGTGGGGTCACTGAGCAGCTTGACCTTTCAGTTGAATCATTGCATAGATGAATATGTTAAAAGCCAGCGAATCAAATACTATGACCAAATATAGATAAAAGTTTAAAGGCTTGTAGTTATTGTTAATTCAAATATGTTTGCTCTGAAAAACTCTGCATGGGTTAGTCAACATTTTAAAATACTTTTTTTTACCAAGACCACCTCGAATAAACTTCAAATTAACACAGACACAAACAGAAATGAGAGAGTTTCAGAAGCTTTGAAGCTATTCAAAAAATAAAAGAATAGTAGTTTCATGTATTTTTTTCTTAGAATACCCTGTAATGAAAGCAGCAAGAGCTGATATGCTTTCTAAGGTCTTACACAAAGGGAGCAGATTAAAACTCATGAACCATTGCTGATCAAACATGCTTGGAAATAATCCATAATGGGACTCTGCTGTGAGGAAAATGCTAATTTTTTTTGTGGGTTAGCATCCAACAGTTGCTAATCCTTTTTCACTTGGCTTCAATTTTAACTATGGTGACATGACAATGTCACAATTGGCTGGACATGGATATTGTTAGAGATATAAACACTAAGAGCACAGCCAAACTACCAAAGAAATCTTGCTGCTATAACAGATTGCCTCAGTTAAGCAGATTTATGCTAATTCACCAAAGAGACCTCTTGTAACACAACTGGCAAATTACAGACTGCTCCATTCTCTAATATGAAAAACATTTGCGGCTAGGAAATCCATCATGACCCAGAGAAATCACAAACACAGCCAAATACTGAGAGAAGATATTCCTTAGGATATATCTCTATTGCATGTTTCAAATGATCATGGGCTCAACTACAGATTATCCTTTAGTAAACAATATAATTTACATAAATGAAGCTCAGTGAGCTCACATGTCAAACAAGAACAGGATGACTTGACAATTTTAAGTTCAGTAACATTGCTCCTGGACAGAATATCTTTATGTAAAGAAGTCATAGCATTAGTTTATCTCACACAATTACACTCTCGAGGAAATATGGAATGGAGTTAGAAAACAGATCACTTCAAGGGAGTGACCCAGCCTCCATAACACTCAAGTTGCTCAACAACATGAACACTGTCTCACTGAAAAATACTGTTAACATACCTCCATTTCACTTTTTGAAATTTAAAATTACTGGAGTAACAACACACAAGATGCAGATCTTGACTAGGCAAGAGAGTTCTTTGATTTTGTCAGTGATGTGGAGTGCAGAGGTTGTGGAGCTTTTGGACAGCAGCACAGATCAGCAGCCAAGGCGTCTGCTAATGTATTGATTTGCTTGTCTTTGGAATGCTTACAATCTGGCTTATAAATTCATTATTTTCTATCTCTGGTTGCATCAGCCCCAGGTCCCCACAACAAAACAACCTTAGTTTATTTGTTCAACATGCAGAGTCAATTGCCCTTTGTTCCCATTGATCTTACTGTCACAGGCCAACACAAACATCAAATCCATTAATTGACATTTTACATCACATCTCAGCTTTCCCAACTTACTAGACTGAATTGGGCAGCAAATAAGCATTAAAACTATCTCATGTAACCAGTCAACTTCAGGCACAGAGCAAAGGCACAATTAGAACTCTCTAAATCAAGTGCAAAATGACAAAATGTTGAACAGAATGAGGGAGGATCAAATTGCAACACCATGAGCCCACCAGCTTATCTATGATGTAAATATATGCATTAGGCTTAGATTGCTTCACTGTCAAGTATCACGCAAGGGTAGAGTGGCAACTGAAGACATGAAGACAGGTCAACCAAGCACATTCCATCACATACATGTAGAAAGCAGAGATTCTAAGATTTTCAGTTCTACCCAAATAGGAAAATTCTGTACAATGTACACACAACATGTAAGTAATTTCTATCTTATCAGTTTATTTTACAACACATGTAGGGTGATCTGTAAGTTCTATTGCCTGAATCTCTGAGATATAATGAGGGTGGTAATTTCATGCTGCATTTTCAGTTCTTCTGTTTGATACAGATTCTACAAAAAATACATTTTACAGCAAGCTAAACAAACAGATTGCCTAGATAGAAGGAGATGATATTAGGCAAATTTATCTCTCTAGATGAGATTACAAGCAGGTTCTTCTGGTAGCACTGAAAGTACAGTGAACAGTGCAAGTTATGTTGTTTCTTGGAGATATCTAAACTACATAGTAAGAGTGTTTTTTGGTTAGAAATCAATGAGGTGATAGCACAAGATGGTTTCATCATGATATCAGTGAAAGTGTCTAAAAAAATGTAGGTACCTAATTTATCAGCATTTCACAAGGGTAATTCACTTGGAACACATGGAAAAATGTTATTTCATTACTGTCCTCCAGGAAGGTTCTTAACAAACTTAGCAAACTGCCTGACAAGAACAACAAGATTCCCCACTAAATTGAAAAGGAGATTAAGATTTTCCCTAATGACAATGGAAGGAACCTAGAACAGGAAGCAAGAAGAGATGGAACACTGCATCTGTTGCTGATGCCTGCTTAATTCAAATTGAACTATGAGAAAAGGACCACTTAACAAAAGAAAATCACTAAGAATGATTAAAGGTTAGTAATTCTTACTATTTTTTACACACTAGTTAGAACATCATATGAAGCATTCCCTAACTGTCTAGAAGTTTCTGTAGTAACATAAACACCTCTTTTGAAACCATATCACAGCTGTGGTCTACATTCTGCTTCTTTTTACAGATGATTCAACTTTCTATATATTGTTCCCACTCTATACAGTTACAAGAATGATTTTATGATGAGTAAATGATAGAATAACCTTCTACTTTATTAATAAATTGAAACAGAAAAACTAATTAACAGGAAGTGAAGCATGACCCCATGTAACACCTAAAGCAATGTGAATATTGATTTTTTCTTTACAACACTGCGGCAGTACAGACAACTGTATACATGTAATGTTAAAGAAAGAATGCTCCAAAAAATCTAGACTCTAAAAGAAAAATAAACACTGTGCACTATCTTGTATATAAATGTATCGGAGTAAACCAATGTATCGATGTAGGTTCACTCATTGGCATGAAAATAATTATGGATTAGTGTCAGTATGAAAGCAATTGCATCCCTATCCCTCCCTGCCCCAACAACAATCAACTGAAAGCAAGTAAGGGTTAATGTTGGGTTGGGGGAAGGGTAGGTGCCTAGTTGCCCAGATACTAACATTGATCTATACATGTATATAATTATATAAAATTGCAAGGAAACTGAATTTCACAATGATTTCAAAAGAATTTAACTGTTTTCTTTGATTTTCCTTAAGGTTGTAACTTTGAAATCCCTGAAATATTACACCTGACTTACAGTATACATATCCAATGTAGAGGAAATTGTATCTAGCATATTTCTCAAAGAACTTACAATTTACAGTTCAGTTCAGTGGTTTGAAAAAGAGCAAAAAATACAGGTGAAGTATCTGCAATTTTGAGGCTGCAGTTGCAGCATTAATTTTTTGTAGGGTTCTTTATTGGGCAATTTTAGCGAGTGAATAAAAAATCACAACACATGTTCTGATACCGAATTCTCAAACATTCATGAAATATTAAAACTGACCAATAGATCAAGTGCATAGGATATTTTGTTGTCAAAAAATGCATCTAGCCTTTGAAATTTGCTGTTTAATTTAGGAGTTTGGATGAGAACATAAAATATTGGTGCGTAATATGCAATCTTAGAACTGCAGGTGCAGCATTTTTCCAAAATTGCCTCATAGAACTATTTTAGCTAGAACATAATGTTGATGTACATATGCAAGTCAATATCAAACCTCAACACATTCTGAAATCGAATTATAGTGTATCAGACAATCACAGTGGTAACAGCAACAGTGATCATATACTATGAAGAGGATACTGTTCTTAGTCTTCAAATCTATGTATTTCTTTGTAAACTCTCTCCTATTAAACTCAAGACACTTGCCCTAAGTCAATTCATTCTGTCCACTGTGGATTTTCACTGAGTTTAAAGATTTATTACTTTTCGAGTGCAGTAACCTAACAGGTTTCTGAGGAGAGAAACATGTAAAATGGAGTTGAAGGGACATTTCCTACAAAAGGAAAATTGAGTTGGTCTACAGTGTTTATGCGTAAATGTAGCAAGGAACTCTACAAATTTCTTACACCATAAACATGTATGTGTTGAGATCCATAAGTTTCATAAAGAACTTTTGAAGATTTACACTTAAACAAAGATTCCATCTCCAGTCAGACAGTTAAGGAAAAAAACAGAACTAGACAAAAAGATATCGTTCGTCTGACTTCAAAGTTTGTCAGCCGTGGTTAATCATTCGATTGAGGTCGTGACAATTGTATCGAATTACCTTGCGCCATTGACCGCGATAAAATCTGAAGAACGATAATTGTTATTTTTAATGAATGCTAAAAACCAAACCTACTTGCGTGCAAAACTCATCGATAAGGAAAGAAATCTTGCTATGCAAACGAATAAAAGTCATCGAAAAGAAACGAAAAATCCTGGAACACAATAAAATTTCTATTGATTTGCTTTCCGTGTCGACTGAGCCATGACACACCTAAAGAATGCACATTTATTAATTCGTTTCAACACCAACCGTAGTTAAAGATAGGTGATTAAACTAGATAGTCGTTGTTTAGAAAACATATTTAAGGGTTAAATGTGGCAAGGAAGAATCGAGGTGAACTTTCGTTTGCAAGAGTAAGGTTTTTTATGGCAACAACGAGGCATTCATTAGTATGCATATTTTTAGTAAAATATTCCAATTTACCATTTCCTCAGACGTTTCTTGGTCCGCAACCCGATCGCGATATCTCCTTCTGCGACCAGTTTCTATTTCGAAACAAAGAAATATTTCCGTGAGTTATAGAACTTGAACTTCGTCAATGAAATAAGGCCTTGAATCTAAACACTGTGTATGCCGAGGTTATTGAGATCAATTTCTAACTAAAGTACTTCGTTGCGCTGATTACTTCTCGGGTATGCAATGCTCGTGGATGACTCGATAGAACGGTGCTAAATGATCAAAATTAAGTACTCAGCGATTTCGTGACTGCATTTATCTGTAGGGTCAATAGATAACGATTCTCAGAGCAATAAATTGTTTATCTGTAAACTGCCTTTTAAAAAAGTCAGAACGTGTCTTCGGGGTCACTCATGTTTAGCATGCAAACAAGCAAGAGTTACAGTCGTGTTGTCCGACTTTCGGGTTTTTCACCTCCCGTGTCAAATCCTCGACTGCTTCAATAACAGATCAGGACTTACCGCTCGAGCTGTCTAAAGCCGAAGACATCTTTCCCGTTGGTTGTGGTATTCGCAGCCGACCAAAAGAAGCTAAAATATTTTGCAACCTTGTCTTCTATACGCAAAAGAGCAATCGGAAATGAAGTGACGCGCATTCATAAGTTATCAGCTTAATCGCTCGTTCCCATTGGCTGGTGAAATAATACCAGAGTTAATTGGCGTGACTGGATTTACGAGATTCACATACATCTATTGTATTGTCATTGTTTTCGAAGGAAAGTAACGGATCCCTTACGTAAAAATGAAAATCCTGGCCTGACGGCGAAAGATTTTAGGAGTTTTACCTCTGTTATCGGAAATTTTACTCAAATGGAAAATTCGGTTATACCTTTGTATTTTTTCTTTTTCGTGTCAGTAACAAAAAAGCATAGCTAAGCATTCAATGATCAATTTACACTCTGTTGCCACTTGTTCAAATATATATCAATTACTGAGATTAGAATAGTTGAAAAGAAGAAAGAACTCATTTACCGAGGTACACACTGCTCCCTTTCTGCTCTTCTTTCTCGCTGCGTTCTATTGTTGTCAACAAACTACTGCCGTTGTACTATACATCCTACAAATATAGATCATTTTCCCGCTCTTATCTGTTTGAAATTTTTTGTCTTAAAAATTGGTCCGTTTGTTTTTTTTTTTTGCAGATGGGCACCCCAAGACTAGGTCAAGTTCTCTGACGCTGCTCCTCCTCAGCAACGTTTTTGGTGTTGAAGTGTAGTTCTTTAGGATAAAGAGTTATTGCTGCTCTATCCGAAATTGAAGATAATTAAACTTGCTAATTGTTTCAAGCAAATTGCGTTTGAAAGTGTATCTGTTACTGTTCATAATCACAACAGATGATATTTTTTTAGACTAATTTTATATGTTCTTTTTATTGTCTGTCATTTTATGCTTTTGGAAACCTTGCAAGATAGACAGTATATTTTATGAACGATTTTCTCGCGTAACGGTAATTTACCACAAAGGCAATTATGACAACCAGCTTACAATTTTTTTATGAATTCTTTAAATGTCAAAATATTATGATCCATCCGGCTTGCTAACGTACTTCAAAAGGCAAGCATCTTTGTCGGTTTTCAAGTGACGTATTAAAAATTCCGGATCTACCTATTTGTAGGCACGTAATGGGCTGTTGAATGCTCGCCAAGGGTTATGATGCGTAGCCGCTCAATAAAACGCCGTAAAACACAAATGTGGTTTTTTTTCACCTTCAGTGGAGGGTTAAAGCAAATTTATACTACGCTTTTCGAGCCATGGGAAAAAAGTTCTCAAAAATTCTTGATTGTGGGCGTATTGGGAGGGGGTAAGCCTTTTTCAGAGTCACTGTTCCATTCAAATTCTGCCTGAAGTACTTTTCCTGACGGCGAAATTCATGGCGTAACGAAATGATCAACCGAACGTCTATACTCTAGTGAATCGAAAATGTACTTCGATTGAGCACCCCCTTGTAGAAAACTAAACACTCACTGGGACTGGGACTCTCCCTTTTTAGGTACTGTCGATGGTTCCCTCTGAAGAAAAGGATACTTTTAAAAGACAATATTGGCATCTAGCAAGAATTTTCATTATAGGTGATTTTTGACTTATTTGAGCGTGAAAATAAATGGAAATAATATATTAGCATAAGCCATTCAGCAAACATTGTAATAAGCCAGTTGATCATTTCTTATTCATTTTGGTGGTCTTACCTTACAGGTAGAGTTTGGTTACCTTTTCCTCATTATGATCGTGAATTTGACATAGCTAGAGACAGATGTTTTTTTGCGTAAACTGCGGTTTGCGGCTAGATATCAGTATATTTCCATTATGTTGCTAAGAAATGTTCAATTACCAAGAAAATGACTTTACCTCATAAAAATTGATCCCGTACAGGAATTTCCTGGAAATAACCCTCCCTTATACTTTTACCTCTTTAATACTCTCGTTTTTAGGCTAAATCCACGTCGAATTCCTGATCCGGAAAATAGTTTTTAAACTTTAATTTAGCACGTTGGACACCTCTTTTTCTTAGAGGTGACTTAGGGTGTAAACATGTAGTACTTTTCTTCGTCCACTATGCATCATCAAAATATGGCAATTAGGTTAGTTATTTAGCGATATAATACTTATGGTGAATGTTGAATACTGCTGACTGACCTCTGAGGATGTAATACCAACAATGGAATCCTTTCAAGTCTTTATCCTGGTCTGACAAGAGTCGTATGCTCAAACTTCCGTTTCGACTGTCAGAGATCGATTGAAAACTCCGCAATGTCTTTGTTTGACGGTAAAGGTGAGAGAATTGCCCTCCAGTATCTCCGTGTACTTGTGCGGGCGACCTTCTGTTTCTTCCATGGCAATTTCGTCGCATACAAGAAGATTTGCATGGCAGGGTGAAGTTGTATCGCCTGCACAGTCCATATAGTTGGGATAGTTGTTAGGGTAATTTGGCGTGGCAATGACTCCACTGGTCTGATTAATGTGTACTTTACGTAAGCCTGTAAACAGAAATAAGTAACCCAGATATTCTTGTATCTACACATTAGCTCCGAGAATTTTATGTTAAATTAAACAATATGTGTCCCTTGGTTGATATTTGCTTTTCTCTGATCGCATGGCTGGGGGAAAGAGGAGTGATATCCATATTGTGAAAAAGATGATTCCCTCGTCTACGGCCAATATTTTTTATTTTTAAGGTTATTTCCCACCTTTTTTTGACTGAACTGAATTCAAACATTCAACCTGACGTTTCCATAAAAAATTCTCTCAAATCTTTAAAAGCACGCGAGTTATTTATTTAAAGGTATTTTCAAATAAAAGGTAATAACTCAGGTAGGGGGAATCCCCTGAGGCAAATTTCACATATTTTGTTTACATCTCGCACTTTAAAAAAATCGCAAAATTCGATTATGGAAAAATCTTTGCGCATGGAAAATCAAAAGCGGAAGAAAGTCACCGGTAAAAAAAGGAAAAAAGAAGAGAAAAAAAAAGAACAGGCCCAAAGAAGAAAGAAAGAGTACCATTCTGTCAAGAAAGGAAAAAACTTTCTTTGTGAAAGCGACAGGTACTGGCGGGGCTCCACGCTGTCCAGATTTCGAACAAGAAATCGCCGGCAAACCAAAATTTGCCTCACATAATGTTTAAAACAAGGTTTCCTTTTCTTTATGCGAGTACCAGCCTTGACACAAAAACATTAACAATCGCCTCGAATCGTAATTTTGAAAGCTGTATGTCGATTCGTTGTCTTGCTCCTCAGCCCGGTTCCCGGTTTTTTCCATTTTTGCCGTGGTTTTCCTTTGCCTCTGGCATCTTTGGCATCTTTGAGCGATCGAGATATAAAAAAAGGTGTCAGCAATGGGTTACTTTTCCCGGGAAATCTTGATCCATCGTCGTTGACGCCAGGAGGTCCCGTTGTCCTATTGGTTTGAGGTTTCAAGAGGAGACGAGATAATCTCCTGGCGTGGCGTGAGTTGTTTGCGAACCTTTATGAGCTAAAATCTTGCATCAGATTTTGGGAGGAATACAACCACTTTGAGCGAATTTATAGGGTATTTAGATTTGACCGATTTTTGTCAAATTTCGCCAAAACATTCCGGGAATAATGACAAACGAAAGTGTGTCGGGAAATTTTGATATTTGAAATTTTGTCTCGTGACGTCCATTTACGCGACACCACGCATATTTTTAGCTACTCCAACTTCAGATACCGATATCTAGACAACCCATCAGAATATCGAAAAAGCTTGACACACTGTTGTTGATTGATGCCTTGTGAATGAGATTGTGCAGCCATTTTGCTCGTGCTGCGGCATTCGATACCCGATAAATTCAATAGAAGAACCTGACACCGTCTCCTGACACTTCCTTAAAAGAGAAGTCGCTTAAATTATATTTTTATCGCAATGTGCAGTTATTAAGCTTTCTTCTGATGTATAGTTTGTTAGGATTTTAGTAAAACTAGCGCGCGTACAAATTTTTCCCGAAGTACACCCCTTAAAAGGTTCCCTCCCAATAGCGGAGGGAACATTGCGTCGAAATGCACCAATCACAATTGTTTAATCCAAGCCAATCATGCAGTAACCTTCACCCGCAACCCTTTGAACATTAGTCATTTGAACCTATTTGACTCACCAGAGTACTTCAAGAAAAAATGAACTTTCGAATAACGAAAATTCATCATATTTCCAAAATCTGTCTAAGAAAGACAATTATTCTGCAAGGTTAGCGAAATGACTCCACATGATCTAAAGACATGAAATCTACCTGTTCCATGAAACAAACAATATCAATTTTGAATTTTGAATTTCAGTGAAAAACAAAAAGGAAAATGAAAAAAGAAAGGAATTGATGAGAGCATCTACTTCAAAATAATCATCTTAATCGTTTTACGATGCAGTTTTTTTTTTACTTTTACTCTTTTTCTTTCATTTGGTGATTATGTAATTTACAATAATAAATTAGTCTTCTTTCATAATACTTAACAGTATGTTTTGTATTTTTACTTTGAATGATTTTTTTCCCCTGATTTCGTTACGCTCTGGAAGTAATTCAAGCGTAAAATGATTTCTTTTCGCTATAAAACGTGTAACGTTTAATCAATCAAATCTCAAAAATCGAAAAAGAAATATAAGAAAAATCCTTTGTTCAGTTTTACTTTCCTGCTAAAGTTCAAGGGATGTAGCTTAATATTATTGATGGTGACATTAAAACAGGGAGAGAATTAATTAACATTGTCACCATTAGTTTGGTACTTTTAGGCCCTCTCATTCTTTGCTTTGCCATAAAATCAAGCGTTCGAGATAAATCATGTTACTGTTTATACAGAAAGTTAGCAATATTGGTTGCTATGCAGCCACTCGAATCTATGATACTGAATTCCTTATTCCATTGATTTTCTCAAATCTCATAGCTTACAGGTAATTAAACAATTTTGCCCCTCACCCGAAACAACAGACTACTTTGCATACATTAAAAATCTGGTTTAGTTATCAGACCCGGAAAGAGTGTGCTATTTTACGGATATTAAAAATCCAAATAAGAAAGATACGATTTTGAAACACTAGCTGCTCCTGATTTAAGCTTTTACTACTTTTTGCCTCCGCGTGAATTCTGCTAGCGGATGTAGTCATTACAACTGGGACACAACCTATTAATTTTCCTACTCTGACCTCCTCTTCTATATTGCTCTAACTCAAAAGCAGTTACTGAAAACAGCAGACGTCATCGTAAACATTGAAAATCAATCAAGTTTTTGTTCTCTGACCCAGAAAGAGCGTGCGAACTAAGAAAAGATGACGCTAATATGCATAGATACAAATGCATTATTTCGTGTAAGGCTTTAATCTCCTATGTGGCAGCCTGTTATTTGGGGGCACAGAAAGGAAAGGATAAGTAACATACTAATGTGCAAAAATGCTGGTAAGATTTTCATTCTCATTTCTAAGGTGGCAAATATATATTGAGGAATTTTCCTCACAACGAAGCAGAGAAAGAAAAAAAAACATGAAATAGAGCACATTTTTGATCTGTAAAGGATAAGTGACGATGAGATTGTAACAGTGAGTGCGTGCTTCATTAGCACTGGAGCGGGTGCATCACTGATGATTCGTTAGCACTATGACGTACAGAAACTACGGAGCAACAGTTTGGAAAGCGCTTGTATTTATTCTCTGAATTGTTGATTCAATATCTAAGTGAAAGTGCCCTTGACTTATCCACTAAATGTGATATGACGTCCAGTAAACTTTCGAAGTTCATATCAATTCATGTACTACGAAAACAAAACGAATAATGAAGAACTTAACAATTGTAAAGTCCTATATAGATCTATATACTGAACGATTTGTCAAGCGTCATCTCAGACTAAAACAACAAATGATGCATAGCTGGACACCACATGATTCAGAATTTGGAATAAAACGGAACGCACGACACTTAGCTTTCTCCTCACGTCTGAGTACCATTCAAATTTAATCAGTAATAGACATCTCAGGTCACTAGAGAAGACTTAAGGTTACTTCCCACCTTCGCGGGTGTCCTTCGGGAAAAATTCGTACGCGCGCTATTTTCATTGAAATTCTGGCAAACTACAGATCAGAAGAAAGCTTAATAACTGCAGATAACGATAAAAATATAATTTAAGCGACTTCTCTTTTTAGGAAGTGTTAGGAGCCGGTAAGGCATGAAACGATCGAAGGTTCTCTTATTGAATTTGTCGGGTATCGGATGCCGCAGCACGAGCAAAATGGCTGTATAGTCTTATTGGTAGGGCATCAATCAATGAAAGTGTGTCTGACTTTTTCTATATTCTGATTGGTTTTCTAGATATCGGCAACTAAAGTTGGAGTAGCTAAAAATATGCGAGGCGTGTTGTCTAAATGGACACCACGGGAAAAATATTTCAAATATCAAAATTTCCCGACACACTTTCGTTTGTCATTGTGTTGAAGGCCTAAATGTAATAAAGTCCTAAATGCAGTAAAGTCCTAAATGTAATAAAATTTGGTCCTAAATATAATAGGGTCCTAAATGTAATAACATTTGGTCCTAAATATAAAAATTACACGTTTTTGTTTTTTTTATCTCGATCGCTCAGTGGAGCGTTGAGGAGGACGACACAATAATGCGCAAAGTTGCCAAAGGCAAAGGCAAAACCCGCGACAAAAATGGAAAAACTGCGAATGTGCTGAGGAGCAAGACAACGAATCGACATACAGCTTTCAAAATTACGTTTCGTCGTGATATTTAATGTTTTTGTATCAAGGCTGGTACTTGCATAAAGAAAAGGACACCTCGTTTTTTAACATTATGTATGGCAAATTTTGGTTTGACGGCGAATTCTTTGTTCAAAATCTGGACGCCAGCGCGAAGCTCCGCTAGAACTAGTCGCTTTCACAAAAATTTCTTTTCCTTCTCTTGACAGAATGGTACTCTTTCTTTCTTCTTACGGCCCCTTTTTTTTTTCATTTTACCAAGGACTTTCTTCCGCTTTTGATTTTTCCATGAGCAAAGATCTTTCCATAAGCAAAGAGCTTCCACGATGTAAACAAAAGTGCGCGATGTAAACAAAATATGGAAATAACACGAAAAACGAGCCCCAAGATGAGCGGTTGCCGCGAAAATTCCCCTAAGGGATTCGCCCAGGTCCGAGATTATGACACCTTCCTGATTTATTAACTTTTAGTTGAAAATACATTTTCTATATATCTCGGGTGCTTTTGAAGATTTCAGAAATGTTTTTTTTAGGAAACGTTAAGTTGAATGTTTCAATTCAGTTTAGTCAAATAAAAGACAAATCGATATTTTCGGCCTCTGAAGTTGGGAAGTAACCTTAACGACCCCTAACACCCTGAAACAACATCTGCAAGTGGCACCCTTTCCTTCAACGATGATTTCTGTACAGTGTCCCCTGACATCAAAATTCTCAATTCTGTTTCGAGTTCATCGGTATACAGAATGTTGTGTAGGGTTCAGTTCTACCGCAGCCGGTTTGCAGATTCAAACTAGCAACAAACCTTCGATCGTTGGCCAATCATGACTGAAAACCTCACTGTTCTAGACATTAGAA